CAGAAAACTCCCTCTGGAGAACCTTGTGTTTAATATATTTTTCAGTGCATCCCCTTCTTTAACCTTTCAGTCCCCAGAATAAACCTTTAACCACCAGTCTACACAGAGTTATTTTGTTTGCTAGCTGAAGTAAAAAGATCATACAAAATTGCAGGTGATGAATGGCATGAGCTATGTGTTTAATACTACGCATGTGTGTATGCATATACACTACTGGTCAACATTTTAGAATAATTGATTTTTATTTTTTTAAGAAAAATAACTGTCTCATGCTTCACAAGCCTGCAATTAGGCCAGCTTGACAAATTAAAAACAGTATTATTTTGAAATATGATTAAAATATAAAATAACTGTTTTCTATTTGTTTTAACACTGCATAAGTCATTATTAATATTTGCAGGCCATAATAATTTATGATGATAACTGAGCATCAAGTCAGCATATTAGAACGTGTCACTGAAGACTGGAGCAATGATGCTGAAAATTCAACGCATTGCAAGCTACAGCACAACGAACTGAAATCAAAGTAAGTTACAATAGCTTAAGTGTGCTGAATGTCTGCAATCATTCATTCAGTGACGACTGCACAAAACGTGCAAACTAATGAAAACATTATAAACTGTTACAAAATGATGAACAAATGTAGTTTAGGCATAGGTTTGTGCAACGCTGTAAAATATTTACCTTTTTTAAATACAAGGAGCGTGAACTGAAATTCTCAGTTCCACGCGGTTCCACGCGCATGTCCGGGAAACTCATGAATATTCATGTATGCCCCGCCCACTGAAACCAAAAATCTCGGAAACCAAAAATCTCGTAACACCGGCTCCAGGCATGGGCAGGGGTGGGCTGAGCCCACCCAATCAGAATTAGATAAAGATTGCGTTAATTTTTTGTGCATAGGTTAAAACCAATCTGAAGCGAACTGTATTTTGAGAAGTTTAAGGTATAGCTTGAGACTGCCCAAACAATCATAAAATAACTCCAGAAAATGTGCAGCATTGTTCTTTTATTAGCTGAATGCAAGACGCGGAGGCTTCGGTCTGTTGCAGAAATATTTGCGCGCTGTCACGGGGAGTTTGTGAGTTACGAGGAGTTTAATACACGAATATGTATCACAGCCTACCACTGAAATAACCTGAGCAGTTCTAATGCTCGAGAAGAAAAGAAACATCATTCAATAACGTGCGTTCATTGCATGGACGGGGCACGAGCATAATATAAGCGTCTTAAATTTTTTGTGCATAGGTTAAAACCAATCTGAAGCGAACTGTATTTTGAGAAGTTTAAGGTATAGCTTGAGACTGCCCAAACAATCATAAAATAACTCCAGAAAATGTGCAGCATTGTTCTTTTATTAGCTGAATGCAAGACGCGGAGGCTTCGGTCTGTTGCAGAAAACGGGCAGAAATATTTGCGCGCTGTCACGGGGAGTTTGTGAGTTACGAGGAGTTTAATACACGAATATGTATCACAGCCTACCACTGAAATAACCTGAGCAGTTCTAATGCTCGAGAAGAAAAGAAACATCATTCAATAACGTGCGTTCATTGCATGGACGGGGCACGAGCATAATATAAGCGTCTAAAATGCATGTATAAGGCTATATATACAGTTCAGTTGAAAGCTTACCCCTTTTGACTTGCTGTTCATGTTGAATGTAAGAACGCAGAAATATTTGCGCGCTGTCACGGGGAGTTTGTGAGTTACGAGGAGTTTAATACACGAATATGTATCACAGCCTACCACTGAAATAACCTGAGCAGTTCTAATGCTCGAAAAGAAAAGAAACATCATTCAATAACGTGCGTTCATTGCATGGACGGGGCACGAGCATAATATAAGCGTCTAAAATGCATGTATAAGGCTATATATACAGTTCAGTTGAAAGCTTACCCCTTTTGACTTGCTGTTCATGTTGAATGTAAGAACTTACTATAGCAACAGCCGGCTCGACTGTATTATCAAGTATTCGCCTTTTTGTTCTTTTGTCAACTTCCGCCGTTTTGAATTGAAAGTCGGGCTGTCATTTACGCGATGCATGTCATTCATCATTATTGTGACGACAACAGCATTAGTCTTGCGTTTTCTACATATTAGGAATACAACTAAAATTGACTGGGTGCATATTTTAAAATAAAAATATTATTTGCAGTTCAGATTGATTACTTTACAAAACAAAATCTTATGATTTATTTAGTTCCTTTACCATTACCATAGAGGTCTGGTCTGAATATTTTCCTCAAAACAATAGTCCCCCTAATGTTCTAGATATGATTATGGCCTTGTTTGGTATAAATAAAAAAGTTAGTTGAAAAAAATCAGCAGTGTAGAAACAATGATACAGAGAAAGAGAACAAAGAGGTTTTTTAATTATTATTATTATTCAATAAAGAAAAAAAAGTGTTTTTGTTGTGAAAGTGCATGATATTCTAGGCTGCCCATGAAAGCTTTTTTTCCAGTGTATATATAACAGCCTATAGTTAATAGAGTTAATATAGCAATATAAACAGTATAAATATCTAGACTTTTTCCCCTTGCAATATAATACAATATATATATATTTTTTTTAAATGCATTGGCCAGTGGCCTTTTTTTACGGTTTATTATACTGCCATCTCGTGGCATAAACAGTACATGGACCATTATTTAAAAAGTATTCCTAAATGGTAGAGGACTTTTAGAAGTAAGTCAAGTTAAAAAATTTAATCTTTTCTTTTCAAAAAAAAAAAGGGGGGGGGGGGTAATGGTTAAATTAACAGAATGCCTGACATTATGGAAATACAGCGCTAGTCATAACTGGACTTTCATGGTGTCGACCTGAAAACACATAATTCTGTTACTATCCTTTGCAGTATCCTTTGATATTTTCATAATATTTCTGTAAATTAATTATAGAATGTGAAACAAGCCAATAAAACCATGGAAGACGATGCAGGTCACTTCCTGGAGGATGATGTTATTAGTTAAAGGGATATTACAAAAGAGTGGAATGGAAAGTAAAATTGAAAACACAGGAAAATTCTATTTAATGAGGATCGACTGCAACAATATTCTCAAGAATACTTTAATAAAGTCCATGATAGAAGTGCATTGCACACGGGGCATGACAAAAACTAAATAGAATTTTATTATTTGATTAAAAAATGTGAGACATTACAAATACTGTGCTTCACTGTCATTGGTTCAGTGGTCAGTTTTTAAGTAGCAACTCAAAAGGCACTCTATTCATAGTATCAACCCCACAGTCTGTACAATCAATAACCAAACATGTTTGAGAAAAAAGCATGTAATGTATGCTGTAAATCTTGTAACTCTGTCTCTCTCTCTCTCTCTCACACACACACACACACACACACACACACACGCACTTCTATCTTAAAATCTGCTAGGTTTGCAGCAGAGGTTACTACTCGTTTGTTTTTCTAATGAGCTTCAGAAGTTTGTTTTTTTCAGAAGAATTTCTCACTGCTTCAGTAGAAAGAGTTTCCACTAACAGGAAGTGTCGTAAATGTGGCAACTTGATCTTAATACACAAAAATGACAAATTAGATATGAATATGTTTTTGAGTAATAATTAATGCTATATGCATATTAGCCAATATATATTCATCTGTATGGACAATGCTGTAAAATGTGTGAACAATATAAAAGTTCTGTTGTTTTCATATAAAACAAAGTCTGATCTAACAGATAAAAGCCAGTTGATATTCATGTACCATCAAAGATTAAGGTACTCAAGACGCAAAAACATGGTTAACCAACCATGACTGCGTGGCCAGAGCAAACATAACATACACAAATATATTTTACATGAATATTTTATAACACAAAACACTGCCAGTATGAAAGACAAATGAAAACATCAGAGCAAAAGTGTTTCTTATGAGCCCATACTACTACATACATCACTTCAAAAAGCTTCAATTATAGTTTAGCGATAGCAAATCAGAGATAACATGAAATGGCTGATGCACTTTCAGATTTCACATACAAAAACAACAAAATAAACACACTTCTTCTGCACACTGCGAGCAAGACAAGAAACTAAATGAATAACCATTTGTAGAGATTTGCTTTGGAAACTGAGCAACCTTTTGATTAAGGCAGACGTATCGTAGTCGTAAATACCACAAAAAGTACCTTTCTTGAAATGTTAATAAGCTGGACTCACTACTGAGTCTGAGAAACTCTCCCAAGCAAGTAAAGATTCACTTAAGGTATTTTCCCTTCATCCTCCAGAGAATAGCTTTACCCAGTGATGACTGCGTAATAAACCTTTAAAGGGGTCATATGATGCGATTTCAATTTTTCCTTTCTCTTTGAAGTGTTACAAGCTCTTGGTGCATAAAGAAGATCTGTAAAGTTGCAAAGACTAAAGTCTCAAATCCAAAGAGATATTCTTTATAAAAGTTAAGAGTCAGCCACACCTACCTAAAACGGCTCGTTCTAACACGCCCCCAACATGTCTATGTCACGATTTGGGTGGCGTTAAGCAACCTTCACGCAAAGAAAGAAGGCGTAACTTTTATTCTCGCTGTAGTTTTGTTGTTGCCGCCGCCATGTCGTGAAGGCCCTGTGTTTCGTTGTGAAAGCGAAACTACTTTGTTTGGTCTTCCAAAAGAGGATGATATTGCTTCGTCATGCCTAGAGCTGATCCGTGCTGGTCGCTGAGGAAATACTTCAACTTCACGCTGTGGATCGCCAGATCAGCTTTCACCGTGGACGAAGCGGAGTCCAGCCCGGGGTCGCCACATGTGGTTGCCGCAGGCATCACAATATGGTAAGGGACGTAACATTTCCGTCACACGCTTGAGGAATTCGGCCAATCATAACGCACTGGATAGCTGGCCAATCAGAGCACACCTCGCTTTTTCAGACCAATGAGCTTTGTAAAAATCGACGCGTTTCAGAAAGGCGGGGCATAGAGGCGAAAAAATTATGTACAGTATGTGGAAAATAATGTGTTTTTTGAACCTTAAACCGCATAAACACATTTCATTACACCAAATACACAAAATAATGTTCTTTTTAGCAGTATCATATGACCCCTTTAACAGTGTCTATAGAAAAGATCAGGGCAGCGAGAGCGCCTTGGCCAGCCGGGTCCAGAACCAGACCTGTGTGCAGGGCCTGGTGTAATCACAGATGGTCAGAAAACGGAGAATGCTGGGAAAAGGCTCCTTCATGGATTTGTAGACAACAGGGATTAGACGTTTAGAGCGAGCTCCTGCAGCAGAGACAAAAGTCAAAATGTTACAAGAATTTCTGTGCTGCTTTAATAGCTGCATTATCCTTCAGATTTAATGACATGAAATGAATACTTCAGCACAGTTTAGCACAGATATATCACAACTGGAGAGTTCAATGACTGAAATATAGCTCCAAGCAGTAATGATCGGCTCAGTCTTTAGGAAAACAATGGATGTGCTTTTAAGCAGGTAAATTTAGGAGGACTATTTCAAAACCGGTGTAAGAGACAGACTTCCTGCTGCCAGGTGGTGCTATGACAGTTACCCACAATAATAATGTCACTGTGATCAGCCTCCATGACCAAACATACAGCTCAAGTTTGCTCTAAATCACATGAAAATGAATTGCCTTACCATGGAAAAGCTGATATAATTGTTCAATGCTGATATATACTATATAGCAATTCTTAATTACTTAATTGTCTAATCGTCACCAAAAGTAAACTATATTATCACCCACCTCTGTATAGAAAGTTGGATATATTAGCATTTTCAACTTTCAACCCATATTCTCACTTAAAGTGATATATATACTATACAGCAAACTTCTTAACTGCTTGATTGTTTACATCATAGCAAAATGTAAACTATATTTTTGCCTAACTATGAAAGTGCAGTCAAAATTTTGCCAGTGAAATCCAGTCATTCCAATAGGATTCTGTGTGATTGGGAGTTTTATGTAAGGGCGAAAAAGTTACCCATGCAGATTTTGTTAGTTGGTCATGTGAATTTAGCTTGAAAGTGTCTGTTGTGTGAGTTTGGCTTTATACATCGCTACACTATTGACAATAGACAATGGATCTTCTTAGCCTATAACATTTTGCTAATGTGATTGTACCTTTAAGCATGAACATATCATTAACTTTAACATGATTTTATTTAAAGCTGCTTTGGAACAATGTATAAAATTGACTTGGCTATACAAATTTGTTTTTGGCAATTTATCATCATCAGTGTCTTGGTAGGGTTGGGCGATGTCTACAGTGAAACAACGCGATGGACGATGACGTGAATCCTTATAAGGGAAAACAACTAACGATTCCTAACACCGTGTCTACACCAGATGCGAGTGGCGCGGCGTGACAAAATACTATAGAACCACTGATCTATAATAGAGATGAATTATATATAGATCAGTCAATAGAACACATTATAATCAGTGATGACAGGGGGCGGGGGTGTGCCCGAAGAGTGAATCCTTATAAGGGAAAACACGATTCCTAACACCGTTTCTACACCGGACGTGAGCGGCGCGGCGCGACAAAATACTATAGAGCCACTGATCTATAATAGAGATTTATTATATATAGATCAGTCTATATAACTCATTATAATCAGTGATGCTGTCTACACTGGATGTGGCGTGACACGACAAATCCCCGGCAGTAAACTGCTGCCGCGTTCTATTTATGACGTGCTGACACAAATTTCAAATGATTTTCAACGGTCGCTTTGTCGCGTCCAGTGTAGACAGACTTTAGCTGATGCGGCGCGGTGTAGACACAGTGTAACGGTTGCCTGTTACATTACAGTACATAAAATTTCCCTTACCACATGAACAGAGTAAGGAGAGATGACTGAGGACGATGGCAAATGATTTGCAGATCCTCAGCACCACTGACAAACATATAAAATGTGTGGCAAGTACTGCCGCTCCATTGTATAAACAGTACGTGCGATCACGAATCTCGAAAGTGAAAGTGAAACTAAAAGCGATCGTGCATTCAAAAGCACGATGCCAGGTATAATAGCGGCTCCCTGATGCCGAAATATGTAGTATAATTACCCAATTATATAACTGCGAGGAAAAATATTGAAATATATATTTTCCTCCCATCTCGTATTTATTCCCTTTAGGGGTTCTGCCTACACATCATTTTCTTTCCGAACACAGTATTGGGATGTGGGGGGAATGGGGGTTGGTCATGATGCCGGCTCAACATCGTGATGTCTATCAGGCATCGGCGATGGACGATGGCATCGTCTATCGGCCCAACCCTATGTCTTGTTATTACTTTGGATGAAATGGATGACAATCCCAATGTCTTAGGGGAAGGAATTTAAAATTCACTGCATGCACTTTTCACAAAATCAAAAATGACTGACTTCCTATTGGGTGGAGATACTGAATATCTGGGTGAAATTTGTTCAGCTTGATGAGAATTATATATGTACAGAGTTTTGTGCATGTATGTAGGAAATATGCACTATGTTTATGGCTGCCAACTCTGGTGTGCGTTTCAAATTTCTGGTTTAAGCATGTTAAATTGACAAAACTTGACACAAAAAATCAATAGGGCCCTCGAACAGTGCTTTGGCCCTAATAAGCTAGTAATAAAAATGGCAATGCAACTCAAATAAGTATTAAGAAAAATGGTGTACCTGGGCAAAGGCTGAGTGCAAACTTGGTCTGAAAGTCACATGCATCACTGTCCAGATAGTCATCAGAAATGACCACCACCATCCTCTTGCACCTAAAGGGGAAAGAAATTAATATATTACAACTGACCACAAACATTTAAAGATATTAAACAATTCATCAAGAATTTATAAATGTATAAAATGCATACAATAATAATAGCTAGGAATGCACAGATATTAAAATTCTGCTGGCCAATACCAAAGCAGATTTTTTTAAATAATTATTTTATGACTGACACAATAAATGGCTGATATTACTGTTATAGACTATTTTGTATAAACAAATTAAAAATAAAAGACACCACAGCAATATTATGTATGTGATAAAGAACAGATATTCATTTTTATATTTGCTAAATATTACAACTAAAATTGTTCTTAAATTATTATTATTATATTTTTTAAAGATTACCTTTAAGTGAGCATTGGATGATAAATAACCCCAAACCAACTTGCCTTTTCTCTATGAGCTCACTGGCGATGGTCCACACGCACGTGCCAGGAAGGACATCTCGGTCAAAGACACACAGCTTCAGGTTGTATTTAGTCTGTTCCAACTGTTTGATCATCTCATGCACAAACTGAAAGTCATTCTGACAATAGCAGATGAAAGCATCAAAGGTCTCCGGTGTCAGTCCTGTCCAGTGAAGACAATGATTAGTTGGTAATCTGCTACACAAATAACTCCACAGTGCATTCAGACAGAACAGGGACAACTCACCTTGTGGATCATCATACAGCGTGATGCCTTCTCGCTCCTGTGTGCGCGGCCCACAGCTGTCCACCACTGGAACCTGGACAGGCTTCCTCTGTTGTCTTTCCAAATACTTCCTGCAGTCATCATCTGTGCACAAACACCAACAACATACAACAGCACTTAGATGGAGATCTTCTCTGTTGTCCAAATTAACGAGAGCCACTTCATTTGTGTTTTCATTTCCTCAGAATTAGTCCTTCTTTTCTCAATCATGCTCTTTGGAGATTTTTTCCCCCCTTCTTTTTTAGGGATATGGCTTAATTTTCTGAAAAGATGTTTCAATAAACAGACAACTTCTGTTTAAGTGAGTGGACAAGAATTGCAATAAAATGTGAAATTTCATACAAATTTTTCTACTTGTGGGTGGCTCTGTTAAATAATTCTGTTAGAGTTCAATTCTGTTATTCTATTATCCGTTCTGTTATTTTCCTTTCTGTTACATTTTTTTTACGGACATGAAAAACAATACTAATATTGATAATAATGTGACAAAAAAAGCATTTAAATTCATTCAATTTAGTTATTTAAAGCATATACATAATTAATCAAACATTAGGGCCTGGTTTCACAGACGGGTTTAGACTTAAGCCAGGATTAGGCAATAGTTCGTGGTTATATTATAATATAAAAGATATAATATAAGTAAAATCTTGTTGACATACCTATCATTTCTTTGAGGTCAGATATAACATCTTTCCTTTCAGCTTTTTCTAAAATCGACAGTAAATTTGCTACTGTTGCCTCTGGACGAGTTTCCCACTCCGTTAAGACCTTTTCAAAGGGATACTCTCTTTTCTCGAAGTTTTTGATCTCCAGGTAGGTGAAGTCCATCAATTCGGCGACTGTCCTCCAGTCTGCTGCCACTGTGTTTGTTGGGTTCAAATACAGCCCCAGTTTCTTTCGGAAACTGCAGTTTAAAGCCGTTATTGGAATCGCTTCATAGTCTATACTTGATTCTGATGCCATATTTATGGCAAAATCGGATTTATACAAACTAAAGTTGTTAATCTCCGCGTTTAACTCGAGAAGAGAAAGTGATACAAAAGTTAAATATTGTAAGGTGTCATTTTCCGACGCTACCGATAAACTGTCAGGAACTGTGGTTTGCTACACAGTACAGTACATAAACAACTACGTGAAGATTGAGGAAATGTTCGCAGAAAACGTGAGTCAGAGAAATGACGAAATACACGTACAGCCAATGGAGTCATGAGCGCGCGTATGTTCAGGTACAAAGGCAGGATCGACCGTTTACATATCTATGGGATCGACTGTTTCAGGACCAGTGTCAGGACGTTGTGCGTCCTGGAGAAATGAGTCAAACACTGATCTCAGATCTGCTTCCAAAGGCACCGCGAGCAACACCAAATATGGACCATTTCCGCTGCGATTACGCTGGGATTAAGTTGTCTCTTTTGCAGAAGCGTTTTGGTTCAGTGTGTCGAATATTATTCAATATTTTGTCTAATTATGTTTACAGCTTTGTTAGCGTTTAGTTTAAGTGATAGTGAAGCAATTTTGTTGTAAAATATGAACATTTTGTCCACCAAAAGTCAGTGGTCTGACTCTGACCAACATACAGGAAGCTATTTTATTGACAGGAAACATATATTTTGACTTATTTTTAAAATGATAAAATTGAGTAACCCTAAGAAAAGTCCTTGAAATTCATGTATCATAAATATGCTTTAAAGTTTGAGGGGGGAGGGAAGGTTGCTTTTAACTTTTTTACTAGCGTTCTCAGCACACAGCTGTCTTTTACAGCGTTTTCCCTCAGTTTTTAAAACCAAACTGAAACAGTTGGCACTTCTCACTTCCTTTTTCTGAATAAATGAAGAAAATATTCTTTATGTGCGCACTATTCAAACTTTTTCAGTTTTCATCATATATCATCACCGTTTCATGTGATGAGGGAAAACTCACCCCCCCCCAAAAAAAATCCCAGTCCTTTTATTTCCAAACCAAAACTTTATCATACTCGACTACACCAGGACATTCACAGGGATTTATTAAAACCACCAGAAATTCAATATTGTATTCAACACAATATATACAAACACATGAAAATCTGAGTTACAGTTCATAAAAATGTCTTCAGAATGTGAGCAGCGGTTTCTGTGTCTACGTGTGAAAACAGATTCAGAAAGGGCAACACAAAACCAAACTATTTTACACTTCCCCTTCCTCATTCCACTGCGTAACCTGTGGCCAAAACAGATGCCTCGTGTCTATTTGTGATGCTCAGCAGCAGAAAAAGCACTTTTCCACTACATCTCCTCCTCAGAAACTCTTATTCTTGGAGAAGTAGAAGTCAATGCCTCTGTCTTTGTGTTGTCTTGGTGTGTACGATGAGCCCTTCCTTACTTTTGCTGGTGGACCAGACTGAAAAGATAACAAATTACATTGTGTAATATGTTTAAAAACAAGCTTATCTTTGTCCCTAATAATCAATGACGTTACGTTGCTAATAATCTTACTGATTTGTTGTTGATATGACGACTCCACTCAGGCGCTGTGATGACAGGGGAAGGGTATGTTTCGTTGAGTGAAACCTGGGCGCGTGAGAGTGCAGAGTTGCTGAGGGTCCAGGGGGTGTGAATGTCCCCACCTTTAATTCCTTGAAGCTCTGGAACCCACTGTCGCACATAGTCCCCCTTCACAGACACGTCATAAGTGTCAATTTTGTATCAAATTATGCCTTATCATCCTGCAGTAATCTCTCAGACGCATTAGAAGTATGTGTAACTTCCTCTTCCTATATTTACACTTATGCTCATAGTAAAGCCTGCTCATTTAAGTGACAATGAAGAGCAAAGTGGAAAATACCAGGATATGCCTTTACGAATATGATTCACATAGGTTTAGGCACTAAAAGCTGCTTTCAATTTATAATTAATGGTCATTTTAATTATTGAAACATCCATTTAATTTGGATATTATCATATTTCCATAAGGATGTACATTTTTATCACTAAATTAGTGTCAGCCATTTTTAAAAACCAAGGAGAGGGAGTGTTCTCGGGGAAACATCCAATCATTTGGTATCTCTGGAAAGCCCTGAATGTGCTCTGTACAGGACTCCAGACTTAAAACTGTGACGTGTGAGGTCTCAGAGAAATTCACTCAAATATAATGTCCACTACAGAGGCAAAAACTCCATAGCTGGGTCTCAGGAGGATATACTACCATATTCAAGAGTTGGTGAATGATTTATTTATTTATATTATTTTAACCATCCTAAAACAATAGTTTGATTTTTTTTAATGCTTCCCTTATCAATTTTGGTGTTTTATGATTTGTTATGTCATTGTATTTTTTATTTTACTGTTTAAATTATGGTTATTTAATGACATGTTGCACTGTGACAACTTAGAACCTGCTCACTGAAGTAACAATAAAGAGTATTAATATGTATGAATATGATTCACATAAGAACCAAAAGCAGCTGTTAATTTATTATTAATGATCATTTGAATCATCTAAACATCTATTCAATTGAATGATATCAGAGTATAATTAAGCACTTTTAAAACTGTAATTTATTTTATTTTGTTTATTATATATATATATTTTTTTTTTTACTAAAGCCTGTTAATTGTTACTAACCTGCTAAATTATTTAATTTAATTTATGTTGATTAAAACAATGGTTTGATAATTTTGTTTCCTTTTCCAATTTAAGTGTTCCATGGATTGTTTTATCATTATTTTACTTAAATTATGGTTATTTAATGTCATGATCCACTGTGACAACTTACCCCATAGTACTGTACGCATTGCTATTGGAGCAGGTTGTCATAAAAGTTCAAGTTTATCCTTTTGTTTTAAGAATACAAATAACTAATATTACTTTTCAAAATGATAAAGCTCTAAAAATACATCTACTCTGAGAAATATTCACTGGAGGAATAAGTGTGACAACTACTCTCTTACTTTTTTGTTTAGATGTGCTAGCAAAATATATGAATCAAGAATGCAGGTGTTTTTTTTTTGGTTTTATGTGCTATTACCGTAAAAGACCTGTAAAAACTACAACTTACGTTATTGTCATAGTCCAGTCCTTGTTTGATCATATTAAACTTCCTGTTTTCTCGTGGGTCATTTCCTATTCCAGCACTATAGAGCCAGTTTCCATAGTTGCTGCAGACGTCATGGTCCACCTGACACCAATGAAAGACAATAGTGCATCAAGCGGCAGCAAAAAGCAGAGAGCATCAACCCACTCCATCACACATAGGAAATGTTTCCTACCAGCAAATATTCGAACCACTCAGCGCCCAGTCTCCAGTCTAAGCACAAGTCTTTGGTCAAAAAGCTGGCCACATTTTGACGTCCTCTGTTGGACATGAATCCTGTCAGTGCAAGCTCCCTCATGTTCGCATCTACAAACGGCACCCCAGTTCTCCCCTCTGAACAACAAGCGAAAAATATTTCACTTTTCATTGAGAGAAAATCTATTGAAATGTGCATTCTTCAGTTGATTAATAAAATCAAGTACAAAATTAAGAACTGGATAAAAAGACTAGCAAATTCTAAGAGTCACATTACCCTTCCATGCATTGAACAACGTCATATCCGTCTTCCAGGACACATGCTTGTCTTGCAGACCTTCAGATAAATGAAGGAAGAAACAATCATTTAAACATTTCATTTGCTGATATTAGAATTGAATTGAGAACTTTAAAATTGGTTACTCAAGAACCAGTTATAAATACTCAAATGTTCAAAGAAAATAAGTATTTAATGAATTTACATGTTTTGCCCTCCACTACAGTTTGAAAGTTTGGGGTCAGTATGTTTTTTGTTTTTTTTTGCAAGAAATTACAACTTTTATTCAGCAAGGATGCATTAAATTGATAGTAACAGTAAAGACATTTGCAATGTTACAAAATATTTGTAATGTTACAAAATTTCAAATAAATGCTCTACTTTTGAACTTTCTATTCATCAAAGAATCCAGAAAAAATCAAAAAGCAATGTTGATAATATTGATCAACATTGATAATATTTTGTGAGCACCAAATCAGCACATTAGAATGATTTCTGAAGGATCATGTGACACTGAACAAAAGAAATAAATAAATCCAGGCTTACCATTCATATGAAATACTCTGTTTCCATATTTTAAACCCACAAACTTGAAGTAATCTCTCCACAGAAGTTCAAATATCACCCTGGTGAAGAAAAATGTTGTAATGCTGCATATAAAACACTGACACGAGTTAATTTTATTTGACACGTTACTCACCAGTATGTGCTTTGGTTGGCGGTTCGTTCAGCCTCATACTTCTTAATCTGCTCATAGATGTACCTGGCTGATATGCAGCCCAACGCAAGCCTGAAGGAGGAGCATCAAAAACCCATGACTGCTCAGAATTAGTCTTTGCTTTGCTCATATGAAAACATCGTTTTGAGGGAATAGTCAGAAAATTTTGTGGAATAGTCAACTCCGATCATGCCATTCCGGGTCTCCTTATAAGTTGCAACAGCATTCTGTGAGAAAACAAAAGCATTAAATAACCCTCTCTCATTGATTAAAGGGGTCATATGATGCGATTTAAATTTTTCCTTTCTCTTTGGAGTGTTATAAGCTCTTGGTGCATAAAGAAGATCTGTAAAGTTGCAAAGACTAAAGTCTCAAATCCAAAGAGATATTCTTTATAAAAGTTAAGAGTCAGCCACACCTACCTAAAACGGCTATTTCTAACATGCCCTCACATGTCTACATCACTATGTGGAAATATTAGCATAATGCCGCCCAAATGTGCACGCAAAGAAAGAAGGCGTGGTTTCAGGAACAGCAGTCGTGTTGATGCAGCCATGTCAGGGAGACGCTGTGTGTTTCAGTGTGAAAGCAAAAGCACTTTATTTGGCCTTCTGGAAGTAGATGCAATTAGGAATCATTGTCACAATGCACTGGGTCAGCTGGCCAATCAGAGCAGACTGCGCTTGTCAAAGGAGGGGGCTTTGTTGAAAATGACGTGTTTGAGAGAGGCGGGGCATAGAGGACCTAAAATAATGTACAGTATTTGAAAAATGTGTTTTTTGAACATTAAAGCATGTCAACAACATATTCTGTTACACCAAATACACAAAATAATGATCT